CCTCTGCCCTAGATAACACCTGGGCCACCCCTGTGCCACCCACTTGTTAAAAAAAAAGTCTAGCTCCGCCCCTGCTCCTACGTCTGTTTTAACTCCATTCATGAGTTTTTGGCCATTTGACTATCTTTATAGGTGTCTGCTTCCAGGTACAACAGTTGAATTCTGGAAGTGAATTTATAAAGCAAAATGCAGCGTCCAGCGCTTCAGCATTATCACGCCCACAAACTTCTGACCAATCACGCAATGATTCCTCGTACATGAGGGGGGTGAAAAGTCTCACGGCAGGTTGTGACAATAATGAGTGGAAGACTCGACTCTGCRAACAAAATGGCGTGATTTCTTCACGCATCCGCGACAATGAGAGAGGATTTTAAGCCAATCGAATAGAGCTTCACTAAACAACAGTTCCTTATTTCATATCTGGCAACCCCAACTGTTTATTCGCCATAAACAACATTAAAAACTCTAAAGTTTCCTGGGATTATTTTCGCGTAAACAAGGCCTAAAGAATATGAGTCCCTTCTTCAACGTGACGATGAGAGCAGCTGGTTTGTAGGTGAAGACAGAGACAAACTGATCTTGACTGAAACACTTAACGGCGCTTAATTCAGTGTGAAGTTCCACAGAATGGTTTGACCGTGTCTGTGTCCGAGCCGTGCGCTCACATGGAAACGGTCGAGTGAATTCATTGTCCAGCGGCCAAGATGGCCGAAACTCTTCCTCAGTTTGTTCACGCGCTCCTCTCTTCTCTGAACGCACTCACGTGTCGGTGTCGACTCCGCGTTGTTTCTGATTCTGTCATTTCCATACGACTCCATTAAGGCCCTAAAATCACAGCACAGCCAGACCCATTTTCCTACAGGCGGACTCTATAAACAGGAAGTAATGGAAGCTGAAAAACTCATTCTGCTTTCTGCTCTCCTCCATTAGTCTGGAGCGTTCAAGCGAAACTTCAGCTCGCCGATGCTCGTCAACGACCAATTGGCTGTCGTCAAGGAAGTTCAGCCAAGCCAAGGTGAGCACTTTACGAGCACCTGTGTGTGTGTGTGTGTGTGTGTGTGTGTGTGTGTGAGTGTGAGTGAGTGCCCCAGCTTGTTTACGCTTTTGTTCTGTGACGTTGCTCTGTCTAGTTATGGGGTTTATTTTTAGATTTTTGTGTGCTCGTGTTTGTACCGTAACAAAACCAGAGCTGCCTCCCTCCTCCTCTGACGACTGCGGAGCATGAAGCAGAAAAAAAAAAGATAAAGAGGAAGAACAAATTCAGCTCCGCTTGGAGCACGGTGGACAGTCTGCACCCAGAAAGTATGTGGATAAATATTTATAAGCCCTGATGTTTGTGTTTTTTTTTTAAATCTCTGTTTATAATTTGCACCAGCAAAGTTTAATGTCAGGTGCTGCTTTTTTTGCATGTTTAAAACCTCCATAAACACTGAAATGCTGCCTAATTTGTGATTAGCATGAGCGCTAACCAGCTCTCTCCTGAGAGGCAGTTTGTATTTCACTGAAAATCCTCTCAATTAGGTTCAGAACACAGGATGAATCTTTAACATTTATCAAGTAAAGAGGCTGAAATCTAAATTATAATGCTGCACGCTCTTTTTACCCAATAATCTACATTCCAAATTCCAAGAAATACTGTGCAAAATTTAAATAAATACCTCATAAACATAATTTTATTCCCAGTGGAAGACAGCAAACATAAAAAAATGCTAAAAATGGCTATTTTATATTGAAACACACTTTAATTTTCTCAAAATGGTGCAATTTCTTAGCTTAAACATTGGATATGTTCATTATTATCTACTGAGAATAAAATATCAGTTTATGAGTTTTACAAATGTTTGAATTCCGTTTTTAATTTACATTTTCCAAAACCTAATTTTTTTTCCCCACTGGGGTTTTAATTGGATTATTCATTTTTCTCTTCCATAACCTGTCATGTTTTAATTTGATTAATTTTTGCTTTGGGATTAATCAAATATTTTTTAATTGAATTGAATTGTATTTGTGGAAGAACCTGATAAAATGCTTCGTCTCTCATAAAGTCCACCTTGCTTGTTGAAGGTTAGCATCTCATGCTGTCACGTCCTTGTTCTGCTCATACATCAGGATACAATTAAGCTGCAGCTTCATCATCACCWCCACGACCCCCGGGACTCTGCTGAGTCCTGCTGAGCCCGCAACCTGCCAACCGCACACTCACACGTAACACTGTGTCCTCTTAATTAAAGTGTTGGGAAAATACAGAACTCATCAGTGTTTAATAATCTTTTTTTTTTTGACAGGGTTTGTTGACAAATATCTGCTGGAGGGTCGGAGTTATTATAAAGATTGTGGGGAGGGGGGGGGTATTTGATTACCCACGTCTGTTTAATTTGTCTTACAGGTGTCATTTGTTGTGCAGTTTTACTTTCTAAAGGTGTTTTCTTTTGTAATCGAGAAGCTTTTGTTGTGACTTTAAAGTGCCTGTGACATCAAATTTTGGGAATAAAGAAAAATACATTTTTTTGGAAATATAACATTGAAAACATATAGCAAAACAAATTTCACACCACTGAGATGAACAGTTGTTGAGATATTTGCATGTTAAGTAACAGGAAGTGATGTCAAAGGGGAATGTCTGCATGTAAACAGATCGTCACTACAATGGCCGACAACACAGACTGTAGAGAAGAATCTGATGTTTCTTTAGATTATTTTGAGTTTCTATTAGATATGAAGAAGAGTCAGAGTCGTCTGCTTACGTTGCTACGTGGCCTACAGCCCACGTAGGCTGCAACCCATGAATTGAGACACAGCCAATGGGCCTCATGCAAGAACCGTTCGTACGCACAGATTTGTTCTTAAGTTGTGCGTACGAGTGATTTAGGAGAATTTGTGGCATTCACCAA